CAGTACCTGGACCATGGTATACATACATTCTCAAACAGTAACTGGTCCCATTTACATACATTCTCAGATACAGTACCTGGACAAGTATATATACAAACTCATACAGTACCTGGACCAGTTTACATACATTCTCATGCAGTATCTGAACCAGTATACATACATTCTCATACTGTACCTGGACCATGGTATACATACATTCTCATGTCTTTCTTTTATGCAATACGTTCAAATTTACTTTACCTGCAGCCTTATTTCTTCACATAGGTTTACAACTATAGAGATGCTAGGAAATAGGGTTTGTTCATAAAGTAATATTATACTACTACAATTGGTTTTGCAAGCAAATAAACAACTATAAAATACGGTCTTTTTTACAATCCAGTATAAATTAAAATAGTGTAGCACAAATATTTTCCAATTAAAGGGACAGACCGGCTATGTGAGGTAGTTGAACTGAGTATGCAGTGTTGTGGAAAATTTCTTTCGGTAACATGTGAGACATATTAAACTTTTTAAAGATCTACAATCCGGAGTTTGAGCGAAAATTCGACGTTCAAAACTCCTACTTTGGGGGTGGATACGTTTTCAGAATTAGTTTTCTAAATTATTAAACGTCGAATTTACTCTCAAACTCAGGATTTACAGGTCTTTAAAAAGTTTAATATGTCTCAAATGAATCCGAAAGAAGTTTTCCACAACACTGCAAATTCAGTTCAACTACCTCACATAGCCGGTCACTCCCTTTAATTATAATTTAAACTGACGCAACGCTAGAAACAAGCGTTTTGAAGCAAGAAGGATAGTTAGGTAAAAACAAATAATTCCTGGCGACACTTTAAAGTCTGCCAGGATATCATTTCCAGCAAAACTGTTCTTGAGCTGAGCTGATACATAATACAATTAGACTTAAACAACCTAATCCACCTCTCCGATCCTTAGTTCTACTGTCTATATTGCTACTCAATATTCTCTCCTCCATCCCTGTATTTCTTTTTTGCACGGTAAAACAGATCATTCATTCACGTTCTCTTTCATCTTAAAACTTTAAAGTTAGTCTATCCGTCTTCTACCATTCTTTTCTTTTACGTTCTAACTTCTCCAATTCTATATTTAAGGTTTGAATGGAGGGGGGGGGGGGTGAATAAAGTAAGAAGTTTTCCAGAAATATATTTTTACCCTCCCTGCAAAAATTGAACCTATGAATGGTTTTTAATCAGGTTTAACAATTTTTAAAGCTATCACCACGAAACTTCTTGACGTTTATTTTGTCTTATTTTTAACGGTTTGTGTGCTTATATGCTGTAGTGACTAGTGAGTGAAAATTTTTTTAAAAAGCTGTTATCCTTTTTGTTTTAAGATTAAAAAAATCCTCCTCCTTCTCGGAAATTTTTTTATTTTATACTTTCTGTTTAAAAAAAAAGATATTGTACAAAATTAATATATTTATCCTAAATTGGAAACCGTGTCGGAGAATTTACTTAGTAATATTTTACAGAACCTGTAGGGACTGTAGACCGATCCATAAGGACTCCTAGTAGGGACTGTAGACCGATCTATTTATAGACCTGCATGTCCTATTCACAACGGCTCCGTTATAATATTCATCTGAACAATAAGGAGGAATATATCATGGTGTTTTTATCTGTAATAATGTGTTATAAAAAAAATTTTCATTCTTTACTACTGCAATTATTTGAAAATCACTTTACTGTTTATTTTATAAAACGGTTTAAAGTTCACGCGGGTAAATTGGTCATGATACTTTACAAATGGAAGAGTCTCTTAAAACTACGGAAACGTAATCTCATAAGGTAGAAAAAAGAATTTCAACAGATTTTTTCGGAAAATAAATTATACTTTGGAAACGTTACATATCTTAATTATTAAATAATAATAAAAGTGAATTGGCCCTTTTTACATCGCACAATTAGGATTTTTCATGTTTTTTATACTATTTAAAGTCATAAATCGTAAGTAAAGTCTTCTTCTTATTCCAGAGTTTTCTGGTTATCACTGTTTATGTAAAGAAGTTTTACCAATACTAGTAAAAGTGTGTGCTAAGAATTGTTCTGCTATCTTGAAACTTTATCTTCAATACATTCTTGATTATACTCGTAGACTCACAATGCTGACACAAATATCCACAAACTGTTTAGAACAGGAGTATTCAAAAACAGGAACTATAGGACAAAAGGAATGAGTCTTTGCCTTAATCTCAAATTTTCTAATTCCTATAACTTTGCAACCTTGGATATTTAATACTTAGATTATTTGATCTAACAGAATTCAAAGATATTCAGGTTACAAAGATATAGGAATTAAAAGATTGGAGTATGTCGCAAAAACTTATTTCTTTCAAAACCCAAGCAGGAACTATAGTGCAGGAATACAAAAAGGAACTAGGACAGGAATACAAAAACCAGGAACTAGGACAGGAATACATAAAGGAACTAGGACAGAAATATTAAAACAAGGATATAGGACAGAAATATAAAAACCGGGAACTAGGACAGAAATATAAAAACAAGGAACTAGGACAGAAATATAAAAACCTGGAACTATGACAAAAATATAAAAACAAGGAACTAGGAAAGAAATATAAAAACAAGGAACTAGGACAAAAATATAAAAACAAGGAACTAGGACAGAAATATAAAAACCAGGAACTATGACAGAAATATAAAAACAAGGAACTTGGACAGATATATAAAAACTAGGAACTAGGACAGGCATAGAAAAAAAGGATTTAAAGGACAAAAATACGGTGGTTGGCGATTATATCAATATAATGAAGCCGACTGTTTTATTTAAGTTTTAATTGTTAACAAGCTTTTTTCGAATTACAATTTTACAAATAATTAAAGAGAAGTTTTTAACTGACAGCTTATCTTTGTTTCCATGCTGTTTAAAGCTTGATAAAAATGAAAATTGAAATCGAAAGTCTTCATTATGCATTATATTGAAAAAATCGCCTACCACCGTATAAAAACCAGAATTATAAAAACCAGGAAAATGGACAGAAATATAAAAACAAGGAATAAGAATAGAAATACAAAAACAAGGTATTAGGACCGCAATATAAAAGAAATAACTATGACAGAAATATAAAAACCAGGAACTAGGACAGGAATAAAAAACAAGGAACTAGGACAGGAATATAAAAACCAGGAACTAGGACAGGAATATAAAAACCAGGAACTAGGACAGAAATATAAAACAAGGAACTAAGACAGAAATATTAAAACAAGGAACTAGGACATAAATATAAAAACAAGGAACTAAGACAGAATTATAAATCAAGGAACTAAGACAGAAATATAAAAACAAGGAACTAGGACAGGAATATAAAAACCAGGAACTAAAACAGAAATATAAAAACAAGGCACTAGGACAGAAATAAAAAAACAAGGAACTAAGATAGAAATATAAAAACAAGGAACTAGCACAGAAATATAAAACAAAATCTTTATTTCTTTTTTTAAATGTAACATATATTTTTTTATATGGTTCTTTTTAATTTGGATAATAACTGCATAAATTCAATGAATAAAAACCAGGAACTAGGACAGAAATGTAAAAACAAGGAACTAGGACAGGAATATAAAAACCAGGCACTGAGACAGAAATATAAAAACAAGGAACTAGGACAGGAATATAAAAATAAGGAACTAGGACAGGAATATACAAACAAGAAACTAGGACAGAAATATAAAAACAAGGAACTAGGACAGGAATAAAAAAACAAGGAACTAGGACAGGAATATAAAAACAAGGAACTATAGGACAAGAATATAAAAACAAGGAACTAGGACAGGAATATAAAAACAAGGAACTAGCACAGAAATATAAAAACAAAATCTTTATTTCTTTTTTAAATTTAACATATTTTTTTATATAGATCTTTTTTAATTTGGATAATAACTGTTTAAATTCAATGAATAAAAACATTATTCTGCATGCATGCTAATTTTTTGTTTCTGTTTAAAATCCTGCCCAAGTGTTTTTCTTACAGATATTTTCAGCATTATAAAACTTTGAAAATTTAAACAGTTGAAAAATACATTTCTAATGAAAACAGATTCAATGATTGGTTAAAAAATTTTCTAATAAAGACCGGAATCGATAAGATTTGAATTCTGATATGTTAGCTTGTGACCATGTGTTTCAAGAAGCAACCTCTTTTATTTGACTTACTCAATTGATCCAACTACATTGTGTTTCTTAAAATATTCAGTAGTTTTCCAAATTCGAAGCTGCAAATATCGGCTTTTTTTTATAAACTAAAAACCTAGAGTTAAATTTTTTAGAGAACTTCTTCATTTTGCAATTTATTGTCGATTGTGAGAAAGATAAAATCAGTTAAATGAAACTTTTTTATTTGAAAGTTGAAACAAAATGTCGTGTAAAGGTCTATTTAAAATATTTTTCTTGGTGCACCAGAGAAGCCTAGTTTAGCTGAGATCTGGATATACAGGGTCTCCCAATAAACATGGGAATTCCGTGACGAGTTCGATATCGTCTTTTAAATGATTCTTTGATTTTATTTAGTTATACCTAGTGAGAAAGCTTTAATCCGTAATATTATCGTCTGCTATGTTTTCATTTTGTTTTGACTGCATGTGGTTGTATTTGGTACGCCCTGTATATAAAGTAGTAAACTCTATTTTTGTTGTTTTTAAGTCCGATCAGACCGTGGGAATCCATTCATCGATTCGCCTCAAATTTTGATTGGGGAACTTGGTTAGTTTGTTTAAAAATCTAAGTTGGATAGATTGACTTTAATCGCTATAATTCAGAACACTTTGGACCAAGTATTGTACCTGTAGGCTCTCACGAAGGCAAAATTGGATCCAATCAAAATTCTCATAAAACTATGGACACCAAATTTATTGTTTGTTATTTCATGCCCCCCCCCCCCCTCCTTCAAACTCTTCTTTAAAATATAAAACTATTGTAAAAATTATTTATATTTTTTATTCATTGAAGACTATTTCAGATTTGATCTCTAGTTTTGATCAAGCAGAAAGAAAAACAGTTAAACGTTACTGAAACTAAATAGTTTATGGAAGGTGGAGAATTTTACCCAAAATCAACAATGGAGAGAGGAGATACTTACTCAGGATCTACCTTGGAGACTGGAGTTTACTCCAACTCCAACTGGGGGAATGGAGATGAACCCCTCAACTCGTCCTGGGAAAATGGAGCAGTTTACTCTCCCTGGGAGAATGGGGGTGAACCTGGAAACTTGTCATCCTACCCGGAGTCAAACCTAACTCTAGATCAGTTTCTGGCAGAAGGTAGCAAATAAACCAATAAAAAAAATGGGGTAAATACAGGACGGTTTTTTTATCCAAATATCTTTACAGAGATGCATCGTTTCTAAATATAAAGTAGTAATCTTTGTTTCTTTGTTTTTATGTCCGATCATAACATATGAACCTCTTAGCCGATTTGCCTCAAGTTTTATTTAGGGAAACTCGGTAAAACCATTGGAATGTTCTTAGCTTGGTTTAACAATTCTTATTTGAGTAGGTTGACTTTGATAGGGCAAACTGGGTTCCCAAGTTAGTAGAAAATGAAGTGAATCAATTCATTATTTTGCGCGCCTAAAGGTCCCTTTCGTTTGTTGCGAATACCACATAAGTCTAAATGGTTTGTTTGCCACAAATATTCACAGCAATGATCCTAAAATGTCGTCTCATTCCTTAATAAGCAAGTTAATTGTGACAACAAAGCAGATGAGAGAGGGTAGCGAAACGGTACTAACCCTAACCTGTTTATTGTTTTCTAGCAAAAAACTATTTTTTTGAACTTCAGAAATCTTATTTTTATCAAATTTTGTTGAAATTGGAATAGTTTCACTGAAATTTTATTATTAAAATGCCTTTTATGAAAAACGTAAAAATTATCAGAATTCTTTTGCATGCAATTTTTATGCGAATTCACTTTATGCAAAGAGTTTTCATCGTATTATATGTGTTGTTTGGGTTACCTACAAAATATGAGACTTTTACAAATACCTGAACCTCTTAAAATATAACGATCTGATGAATAGACTTGAGTTTCTAGTATGCTGCATATTGCATGATCCGAATAAAAAACTGCATGAAAGCTAAAAAATCTTATCCTTTGTATGTAACCCTGTCTGTTTGTTGAGCAAAGGAAAGGCCAAGAGATTAAAAATTGCACATACTTTAAAAGAGGATTTAAATTTTATGCTCAAATTCTTAAATTTAAAGATCTTAAAGTTTTCTAGATTTTTAAATTAGCAGAATTGTATATTATTTTTAAAGTTTCTGAATGGTGAATGATAAACAAAATTAAAATCTATGAAGTGTTCACTTATACAATATTTATTGCATAATAGTAATTCAAAACTGTTTCCAATAATATAATTAAGTAAACGTTTAAGATGAGAATATTTGATGTAGACATAATTTCAAGTAACCCTTCATTATTAGAGTGGCATGTTCGATTGACATGGTACTCTTGAAACCTCTGCCTGGTCTAAAATGAACGAGATATTAAAATCTAATATCATTTTTAATTGTGGTTTCTCACCCAAAGCTACTTGTGAAAATGTTCCGAATTTGGCTTTTTTCATTGAAAAATACGATATCTTCATTGTTTTTGAACCCTTATGTTGTCGTCTCATACCGTTTGTTTTCTTTTATAATTAAAGGAATTGAGTCTTTACCACAAACTCTAATTTTCTAATCCATATATCTTTACAACCCAATGTTGTATACCTCAGATATTTCGAACGATGAATTCGCTTAGATCAAATAATCTAAGTTTAAAATATTAGATGTTTACCCCATCAGGTTACAAAGATTAGGGAAAAGAAAATTTGAGTTTGTGACAAAGACTAAATTCTTTTATAGATTTATTTATGTCTCTTTATTTATAAATAATTTTTACAATTGGTTTAATTTTGTTCAATGTGTAGATAAATAAACAACAATGTGGCCACTTCTTGAATTACCGCATTATTTCTAACTAAAGGTATTCAAAAGTGCATTTAAGGTTTATTTATTGCCCCTCGGGGAAACCACATTTTCCACACGACCGAACTCTAAAAACCTGATCTGGCAAAGTTTTACAACAAGAAATAAAATTTGTCATTTTAGCTAACTTATACAAAAGGAAATTTAAATTTATTACTATTATAAATAATGTAGAGATATTTTTTTGCTCATTTTGTTTTCTTTGGTCGATTTTTCCCGGTTCGGGCTTAATTGGAAATCAGAGTCATTTAAATTGGATTGATAATTGACGACATTTTTTCAAACTATGACAATTTATTTAACATAAACAATCAAACTTTTCTTGAAATTTTTATCCAAACTTCTCTTTTTCGTCAGGAAAATTTTTTGTTGATTTTCAAAATTTTTTCTTTAAACACATCTTTGATTTTGCTCCTTTTAAAGGGAGAGTTTGCGAAAAATGAAAGGGGTATAGGCTTAATGCGATAAAAAAGCGCTTTTGATCGTTACTAATCTTACTTCTATCTGTTGCGTCTATAAGGAGAAAATTGTGAAAAACGACTAATACCGAAGATCGTAGTATCCATACAAATTCAGAAAGATGCAACATACGACTTAGACCGTAGAAAACTCTATTTAATTTCAAACAAATCATTCAGATATTGCACCCTATGGTCATCGATTATCTTTCGCCACATTTGTATATAATTGATTTTTCATAATATGTTTTAATTGTTATGATCTGAGAGTTACTTATAAAAACATTTATTCCTGTTTCGAGGATTTTTGATAATGAAGACGACATTTTCATATTTTCCAGGAATGTTCGAAAACAAGTTGGAAGCTAAATGTTATTTTAAAAAATAAAATCAAAACATATTATGAAAAATCAACTTTACAAATGTGGAGAAAAATAATCGATGACCATAGGGTGTAATAGCTGAATGATTTGTTTGAAATTAAATAGATTTTTTTTACGGTCTAAGTCGTAAGTTGCATTTGTCTGAATTTGTATGGATACTACGTTCTTCGGTATTAGTCGTTTTTAACAATTTTCTCCTTATAGACGCAACAGATAGAAGTAAGATTAGAAGGGATCAAAAGCGCTTTTTTATCGCATTAAGCCTATACCCCATTTCATTTTTCGCGAACACTCCCTTTAAAGACTGAAAAATCACAACATCACGATTAAATAGTAAACACTTTCTCATCTTTTGTTTCTGGTCCTCTACTCTATAATTAAACACATATCCTAAAAAGCGAGATAGTTTTATTAAAAGAAATATGACCCAGTAATTAATTTCTTTAGACAAAATTAATACATGTCTGACAGAGAACAGATTTAGTAAAATTATAGAAATGTAGTTCTTAAAATTAAAACTACCAGTCAGCCAGCTTTATTTCAAATCCCCTATAAAAGTTTTATGTGTTGATCATTAAAAGAAAATTAAAAACATGCTAATCTTGTTTACGCTTTAAAACTTTGCATGAAAGAGGCAGTTTAGGGAGTTTTTTAAATATTCTAAACTTTTCAAAGTTTCATGAATTATAGAACTTTTCACTCTACACCCACAAAACACTCAGATAGGACCAAAAAGATGCAAGTTCTGGATAATATTTACATCATAGCTTACAATCTGTTTAATCTATGACACCTCCTGATTTCGAAATGTAAGAGAGGTGCGTAATGAACCTCACTAGTTTCCTTGTTGTGGGTTTACATATTTTTGTAGATTTTAGTGAACGAATTAAAAAAATGATAAAATAATTCCAAAACTTACCCTAAATAATAACTAACTAATCAAAAATAATATTACGAACCGCAAAATCAATATCTAGACCATTATCTTACTTCATTTATGAAACCCGGGTACAGTTCCAGGATTCATGACGATACACTCTCTTTACTTCGAGTAGAGTTAAATAAGAGAGTTAACTTACGCTTAGTAACGGATTCAAGAGTTCATTCCTCTTTACTTATTAACATTTTTTTGGGGGGGGGGGAGACAAGGAAAAGGAGACAGGGAACTTGAAGGATAAAGAATTGGGAAAGATGAAAAGTTACGAGTAAGGAGGAATAAAAAATAAAAAGAATAGGAGCAAATTTAAGGAAGAGATTAAAGGGTGTTAAAAAACTTAACACCTAACGCTTTTTTCCTCTCAGAAGCTTAATTATTACCCGATCATAATAAAATCACAATGTATTAGGATCAGGGAGTTAGGAATAGAAGGGAGATATAACTGACGCGGTTCGCCCTACCATATGATTATACATGCTTTGCAGACGGTACTTCATTTGTATAAGAAATATTCAAAGTAGGTTATTGTGTACGCAGTAGATGTACATCAGACAAATATATCTTATTTAAATGGAGTACCGTCTGCAAAGCATGTATAATCATATGGTAGGGCGAACCGCGTCAGTTATATCTCCCTTTTATTTCTTACTCCCTGATTAGGATATTAGGAACACATAGTAAAAATATCAGATTTGGTCAATTCTACTCTGTCTGAATAAAGGCACATTGTTTCAGGCCATTTTCTTTTAAAGAGAATGATTCAAGTAGAATTAGACCTTGTAATTTGGAACATTTTTACCTTTAAATATCTAAAACAGTTTAAGAAAAATATTTAATTCATTCACCTTTTAGCAAATTCCATATTATTCTTCAGGGAATTTAATTTATCAAAAGAAGCATGTCCGCTGTCAGTAGAATGTCTAAAATTGCATTTATTGTCAAATTGTCTTTCCGTTCTTTCCCTTGCTTCTTTTTTATAAAAAAATCTTTTAAATTGATTTGACGTATTTTGTCACTTGAGCATATATGACCACTACAATTGTCTAATCTGATCTGTAAATCTTAACAACCTGATGGTGTTTGCCTATGATATTTCAAGTTTTGATTAGTGAATCTAACAAAATTTATACGTAGATTAAATATCAAAGGTCTGAAACATAAAGTGACAAAGATACAAGAGTTAGAAAATTAACGAATTTAACTCCTTTCACTTAAAGTTTTTCACGCATTTAGATTTTTAACTGAAGTAAACTTAAGAAAAATAATTGATATTTTGAATCCAATCGTAGGTAGTGTAGATAGAGTAGGTAATATAGGTAGAGTAGACTAAAAATGATGAAATAAAATAAAAAGAGGGATACAACTTCCAAAAACATAGAAAATACGTATTTCAATCCTTTAATTAAATCCAACCTTGGGGGGTTTGCAAAACAGAAATTAGCTTTAAAGTAGTTCAATGAGGGAATTAAGTTCCAACTTCGTGTTATATATATCTCTCATGTTTATATATATATATATATATATCATGTTGTTCATATATATATATATATATATATATCATGTTTATATATATATATCTTATTCAAGAAGTTTCCAGAAGTTTTCCTTATCTCATTTTCACAAAGAAGGGAAATACAGATGTTTAACATAACATTTATCTTGAAAATTAAAATTGTAGAAACCAAATTAAATGTAAAATATTTTTTAAAATATTTGTCTGACAAAGTTCTCATCCTAAATAAAAATAAATCAAATAATCCCCAATACGTTAACCTTTCAAACATAAAAATTCCTATTTCATCGGTTCCATGATCGAATTAGTCCTGATTTGATTTTTTGATAAAAATCTACAAAGAAATTGAGTCTTTGCGACAAACTCTGATTTTCTAATCCCTATATCTTTGGATTCCAAAGTCGTAGACCTTTTATATCAAATAACATAAGTTTGAAATATCAAAGGTTTACGACATTGGGTTTGAAAGATATAGGGATTAGAAAATCAGAGTTTGTGGCAAGGAATCAACTCCTTTTTTTAGATTAAAAATATATGTAAGGTGATATAAAAATTTAAACGGAGTGTTCGCGAAAAATTAAAGAGGGTGTCGGCTGATACCGAAATGAATTTGGCTTTTATCGCGACTTCTATCTGTTGCGTACATACAAATATTAATATATTGTACACTAGCTTACACTCCAGGCTTACGGAAATTTGAACTAAATTTTAAAGATAAACAAACTGGGTTCTTGATCATAGATATCCAAAGGTTGCAAGGTTTGACGCAAATATCAAGTATTTGACTAATTACTTCTTTAAAACTAAACCTAGAAACAAGAGCTTTATAGTTCTAAAGCCTATATGTCTAGGGCTACATCTGTATATAAATTTGGTTTGTCTGTCTGTCTTTTTGTTTGTTTGTATCCAATAAACGTCAAAACGGCTGAACCGATCAGGCCCAAATTTTTGGTGGGACATCACGTGACCACAGGGAAGGTTTATGAATGATAAAAATTATAAAAAAAATGTGTTGTAAAGGTTTTTAATTTTGTAAAAAAAATTAAATTCTTTAAAATCCGCGAATTTTTTTTTAAAAATCCGCAAAAATTTTTACTTTTAAAATGTAAACAAAAAGAACATGCTCACAAGAAGATGGGCGCGAAGCCCTAAAAGCCTGATAAAAGTATAAGTCAGTACGCGAGGTAAAATCATGTCCAAGGCCATTAGCCACAATTTGAATTTAACCAAGTCTAGAAAATTGTTGCAATTTTCCTAGCAGTCTGGATCTATTTTCCTAGCGGTCTGGATCATTTTCCTAGCAGTCTGGATCATTTTCCTAGCAGTCTGGATCTATTTTCCTAGCGGTCTGGAACTATTTTCCTAGCGGTCTGGATCTATTTTCCTAGCAGTCTGGATCTATTTTCCTAGCAGTCTGGATGTATTTTCCTAGCAGTCTGGATCTATTTTCCTAGCGGTCTGGATCATTTTCCTAGCAGTCTGGATCATTTTCCTAGCAGTCTGGGATCATTTTCCTAGCAGTCTGGATCTATTTTCCTAGCGGTCTGGATCTATTTTCCTAGCAGTCTGGATCTATTTTCCTAGCAGTCTGGATCTATTTTCCTACCAGTCTGGATCTATTTTCCTAGCGGTCTGGATCTATTTTCCTAGCGGTCTGGATCTATTTTCCTAGCGGTCTGGATCTATTTTCCTAGCGGTCTGGATCTATTTTCCTAGCGGTCTGGATCTATTTTCCTAGCAGTCTGGATCTATTTGTGATCAGTCAGAGGTTTAAAGGGTACCATTGTAAATCGGGAATTCGCCACTTTGCGCGAAGTGTCACTTACGAAATAACGCGTACGATTCCTTTAAAGATCTTTTAGATTTTTAAGTTTCAAGTCGTAAATTTGTTTTGAAAGAATTTTTGGGGATCGTATTGAAGATAACTCATGTTCATCATCGTCTGAAGATCGTTTAAAGCCGACGATCTGTTAAAGTTTTCGATCAAAGCATTTTTTTAAAACAGAAAGGCTGGTCATTGTTTTGAAATATTTCAACATCAAAAGTTTACTTACCATTTAAAATTTGATGATGTTTTTTTCCACAGCTCTAAGATATCTCAAAGTTTTATGATATTTAAAGTTCAAAGATAATTCTAGATTAGAAGTTATTCGAGGGATGAAGATATTCCACAGTTGAGAATACTAATCTAAATGTTTTTATCTAAAATCTTCTTTCTTTTGAAAATGACACATCAACAATGCTTCCATTAAATCTTCATCTTGGAGTTTTGTTGTCACACTCTTGTTGTCAAGAACTATCAGACGTTAACCATCTTCATATTACACAGTCTAATAGAGACTAATGTTTCTATTTGAGGAGGCGGAACTAAAACTTATTGGAGTTATTCTCACAAAATGTCGTCTTCGTTTGGGTTGAATTACAGTTAAACCCTAAATGTGCAATACATCGAAATAATTTATCAAATGTCGTTTTGACAATTTTTCAATGGGTTTTTACGTAAATCTCAGTATTTGCGAAAATAAATAAATAGCCATGAATATGCGGGAACAGTTTTAAAGACCTCCATATAATAATTTATTAAAAAAACTAAATATCTAACAAAAACTAATAAATAAGACAAATAAACGATATTTTCACATAGGATAACAAATGTGCATGTTTGATAAAAGCAAACCTTTTAACAGTCGAAACCTTTTAAAGTCTAGAAATATTAAATGTTTCTGTAAAACAAATTTAGCTATTGCCCATCTCTAGTTATAGGTCTAAATCCAGTTTTTTGTTTAAAAGTTTGGTTAAAGCAACTAGATGGACCAATCATAGATCTATGTTTGAAATACTAAAACAAAAGCAGTTCTAAGTACACATGCTTAACTTAAAGCAGATATATGGACGATGGATCATTACCAGTCCTTCATACAGTTCTATTTTTGGTACTTGGACCAATGTAGCTGGATGGGTCATTACCAGTCCTTTATACAGTTCTATTTTTGGTACTTGGACCAATGTAGCTGGATGGGTCATTACCAGTCCTTTATACAGTTCTATTTTTGGTACTTGGACCAATGTAGCTGGATGGACCACTACTAGTTCTAAATACACTTCTATGTTTAGTACTTGGACCAAAGTATCTAGATGGACCACTACTAGTTCTGAATACACTTCTTTGTTTGTTACATGGACCAAAGCAGATAGTTCTTAAATTCTTGATAAACTTTTATGTTTAGTACTTGGACCAAAGCAGCTGGATGGGCCACTCTTGCTTCCAGTTACTGTGTTCTATGTTATCATATTTCTCACTGGACTTGTAGGCAATATTTCGGTAAGTGAACACCCACCCCCAACACACACAAAAAAGCAATGAAATTTGGCACTTGTGAATAGAAGAGATTTTTTTAGATAAACATTTTTAAACCATCAGAAAGTTAAAAGAACATAGATTTATTACTTTTTACCATTTTTTATAATTTGCCAATTAAAAAGTCACATTGCCATGTTTGCCTAATTGTCTGTTTTCATTTAACTTTTAATTGCCTAAATATACAGGGTTGTTCACAAAGAATTGCACTTTAAGAACATATCTAATTCAAAATTGAATTTTTCGAATTAAAGCGGCTTAGGTCGTTATTAAAGTCTCATTATTTGTGGGAAACCCTGTATTTCATAATATAAATATTAGAATACACAAACAATATACATATTTATAGTAGTGTATAGGCAGGGTCTGAATAAGATAAACATTGGAAATATTATAACAAAAATTTAAATATTTAGATGTTTAGATATTTAAATGGAAAGAAAGCATCTCATAAAAGAGCTCTGTTGCCAAACAAAACCAAAAAGAAAAATATTAACACTCTTCCAATTTATTTTGATCCTTTGATTCTCAACAAAGTGCTGAAGAATTTGTTGAAAACGTTGATAGGATTATTCTAAAATGAGTTAGCTGGATAATGGAAGATTTGTCAAAAACATGAATCAAAGGAATTGAGTCTTTGCTACAAACTCGGATTTTTAAATTACAATTTCTTTAAAACCAAATGTCGTAGACCGTAGATATTTCAAACTATGAATTCTGGTGGATCAAACAATGTAAGTTTGAAATATGAAAGGTATGCATGATCTGGTTGTTAAGATTTAGGTATTAGAAAATTGGGATTTGTGGCAAAAACTCAATTCTTTTCGGGAAATAATTTTTTCTTTCTTTGCATCATAGAAAATCTATATTTGAGCTGCATCATTATCAAAGNCCCCCCCCTGCCCTCCCAAGTAGAACGCTACTATTAATCGATGAAATTGATAAGTTTTCCTTACTAACTATGAACTATGTCCGACAAGTAAGACCGTGATTGAGTTTTATATAAATTGATACGAGGTCTGTAGAGTAAAGACATATACTGCATAAAAATTATTGAATCTTAAAAGTTTTGTTTGATTTTATGTTTTTATTAAATTTTAGACAAACAAAAAGAAAGCGAAAAAGAAATGAAAAGAAAGGATTAATTAAATCTTCTTTATCTCATTATGCCAAAACTATAGGAAATGGATTAAGTTCTTGCAACAAGTTCAAAATTATTTAATCCCTTTATCTTGAGAACCTGAGGCCGAATGTAAAGATTTTGAGTCGCGTCTCAAATTTGAGACGCGGCTCAAACATGGTTGATTCCACTTAAAATTGTATTCAGTGTTTTCGATATTTGTGCCGGGGCTCAATTAGAACCGGGTTTCGGCGGATAAGCTTCGCGGTTTAAATTCTTTAGATTCGGCCTCTGTTCGCGTAAACAAAAAATTTAAAAAAATATTTACAACTGTTACAACCTTTGATATTTCAAACTTGAAACATCAAACAGTAACTTTTGAATTCCTAAGTTTAACTATCTAGGACGTAGATCTGTCTGCCACTTCTTCTGTTTAACTGTTAACTTAACAGCTAGTATAGATTCAAAGCAATGAAAGCCATAAACCATGAAGCTTTGTACCAATCAGAGATCTCGAGATAGCAGAAGAAGATGCTTTGCGAATTCTTATTGGTCGAAAACTTAACGTTATAGGGCTCTCATTTGGAAGATAAACCTAGGAAATGTCTTAGCTTTATCCATGATAACAAAGGAATTGGGTCTTTTCAACAAATGCAAACTTTCTAATCCTGATATCTTTAAAACCTTTTATATTTCAAATTAGGATTATTTATAACTTAATTTATAGTTGAAATATCTAAGGTTTACAACAACAAGATGAAGGATTAGGAAATCACAGTTCATGGCAAAAACTCAATTTCTTAGGATGAAACCATTAAGATAATTCAATACGTCGTTTTTAAAACATTTTATTTGGCATATCAGGACAGTGAACGGTTTTGTTTAAATTGACAATTTTAAATTCTTTTATGTTAAAATATGTTCATTGCTTCATTACATTAGATATTTCAGAATACAAACATGGAATCTCTAATCATAAATTATAAAACTTATATTTTCGAAAAGATAAAGATAGAGAATGAACACGCAGGAAGTTTGAATATTTTATTAGAGGAAAGTAAGGGCGGAGTGGGGGGGGG